GATTCTAAATGAGCCAAAAAGCAGAGACAGGAGCAATTGTCAAAATTTTGGTGTCCTTCATTCTATTTCATCCTGGACACTACAGAAAATGGGCTTAAAGTGTAAAAAACCGAACTTCTCCTTTAATGTTCGGATTTCATATTTCTGATACTTTAAGATGTTTATTGCCCTCCCTGGTAGGGGTGGTAAATATCTTATTTAATCAGATATTAGTTCGGCTGTTATATACTGTTTATGACACACGCACTACTAGCTGTGTGTTAGAACAATAAATTTGAGTAATTCGAGCTCACATCATGGTCAGACAGTTAATTCTGCACATACATGGAATAAATTCACCACAACTTCTGTTCAACAATATAAGAGTTTATTATCAAAAATCATTCAGCTCCAAGTCAAACATATTTCAGTTTAACACTCTTAACTAAGACTAGTGAAACTCAACTAAACTAAATTATTATGTACAAAGAAGAAGAGGAACCATGGTTGAAAAGCATATTACAGTTTAAGAGAGATCTTGTGTTTGAAAACCAAAGTTTATCTGGAAGAATTTGGGATATGATCAAATTAGCTTTTCACTAATTTTAAAGAAATAGGAATGTTTTCAGGCCAATTCGCAATGCAAATCCACGAGGTGAATAAAACATTATTTGGCCAAATTTTTTATTGAATGATTTGCTTAATCAAGAAACAATAACCTTTAGTTAATGATCCTTCACCATCTTTGAAATAGCTAACAGCGAATAGATATCAGGATTCCACTAAATGACTCTTGGTCATACTTGGTAGTCAAAATGTATATGAGGAACACATGAACACTAACGTTATATCAGTGTTTAGACCCTTTTTTAAATAAAGCTTGTCGAAGCTTCACCAACAGCTCCATACATATTCCTGTGGCATAGCGTAGCATGCAGTGTTTTCTGTTAGCCTGTCTCTATTCATCCTCAAAAGACATATTGTTTGTTCTGTCCCTAATCATGCCAGACCTGCAAACCTTTTTGTCCATTTCTATTTGCAAGGCTTGAGTTTCATTCAGCTGCAGCTCAGCAGTCAGGGCAGCAACAACCAGGGGGTTCTTTGTCTCAGTCTCACAGCAGGGGCCCTCTTTGTCTTAGTGGTTCATCAAGGCAGGCTTCTCTCCAGTCTGGCTCTATAAGTTCTGAAACTCTAGAGAAATGTGTTGCAAAAGGTCTGTTTTGCAGCAGTTTGGTTCTGAAAGGTTCTGACTTTTCCTTGAGGATTCTGGAGATTCTCCATCTTGCCGGAGAGGGACCCCAGCTTCTTGGGCAAGGGCGAGGAGGCAAAGAGAAAGACTCTTGTGTGCTCTGTGACTTTGTCTGTCCTCACATAGAGGGGGGTGGTTGGTCACACCTCTGTGACTTGCCATGATACTTGCCTGTGGAGGCCATAGCTTAAAAGGGGGGGTTGCAGAGATTTCCCCAGCTGTTATTCGCCAAAGCTGCGTGTTCTTCTCTGGTCATCATGTCAAGATAGACACTGGTTCCCAATGTCCAAAAACCATGATCATAGCATATGGCACAACAGTTGTCTTTGAGTGAGTTTGTCATCGTATGTATAGAGTTGTTTGAGTGTTCAAAACTGTAGAAGGCCTGCAATACAGAGAGCCTAATAGCAGCAACAGACAGGTTGACTTTGCTATGGAAGGCCGGAGCCCCTACCTCCCATTAAGCAGGAAAACCTCTGGCCTTGTCGCCGCAGTCCAGGATCTGTAATGACCTCTAGCAGCAAGAGCAGCCAGCACTTAAAGAGGAGACACCCTTTGATCTGTAGAGTCCTCAACATGCCATGCAGGTACCAGGTATAATAATAATATTAAAAAGAATTGAACTTTATTAATCTCACACTGGCGAAATTTACCTCTGCATTTTAACCCGGAGTACAGGTTGTGGGGATTGAACCGGGTACTTGAAACCTTCTCAGAGCAGAAGCGCACCGCTCTAACCACTAGGCTAATGCTACCCTAATCTTTATGTACCTGCAGTAGCTGGAACTCTGAAGAACATAGGTGGAGAAAAGACCCCTTACCACCAAATAATGGAGTCCAACACTACTAGAACTAGAGCTGGGCAATATGAAGAAAATCTAAAATCGCTATCGTGAAACATGAGACATATCATGAAATGTTTAATGTACCTTCAAAAACAATAGTGTGCATTAAATTGCACTGATATACTCATTCAGACATCTGGTTTCATATCTAAAACATTTTATTTTAACCAGTTCACATTATGTCTTTGGGTATCAGTATTAGACCTTTAACAAGATCCCAGCAACCAAACAGGAAACAAAACAAAAACACGCTATACTTTTTTTTTTTTTAATTTATTTTTAGTGTTTGAACAAGAGCAAATACAAGCAAATGAGGGCTAGATCACACATACTATATATAGAGCAGTGTATTTTGCACTGCATTGCTTGTCTGAATCACAAGAATGAGAGAAATAAATAACACATATAACCCAGGAGCAGGGTATACAACTAACAGTCAAAAAAGCAGATATATTTTCCAATTCACAAAGTATTTTTTTATGAG